CCCTGTGCACCCTAAACAACTTATAAACACCCCAACACCCTAAACACCCCAGAAACCTAAGCACCCTAAACACAGCAAACGCCCACTAAACACTAAACTGCCTCAAACACCTCACACACCCTGTGCACCCTAAACACCCGAAATTCCCTAAGCACCCTAAGGTCTACAGGTGCTAAACCCCAAACGTTGGACATACTTTTACCCTGAACGCCTTAAACGCTGCTACCGCACTGAAGATTCTTCATCTCAAGCAATCCAACCCCTAAAAACACCTCGTCACTCACCCCTATGCTTCGCAGCCTCGAAATGCTAAACCAAGCGCTAAACCAGCAGAACGCAGGGTCCTAAACCAAGCAAGGGCCAAAGAGCCCCCCAGGCCTAGAACCTAGATTTTCTACCCCAAAAGCGTGATCCGCAACCCAAGATAGCTGACACAAGCCCCAAAGGTATCTTTTCTCTAAACACCCCAAAACCTTTCACCCCAAAAGCCCTAAACCGAAACCCTAAAACCTTAAACACCCTGAGGCCAATAGCATAGACCGCAAACCCTCAAAGCCCTCAGCCAGGCCTGGAGTGTTGACTGTACTGAATTCTAGAGGTGCCAAGGCATTGCCTAGCCCAAAGTTTGTCTTGTGAGGAAAAACCCTTGTTTGTGCGTGAGCAAACTTGTGGGAAGTGAGGCAATCCGCCTGAGTGAGTCTAGGGGCTTTGCTCAGGAGCTCAAGCCTTTGCGGCCGGTCTCTCCGTGCGCGGCTTAAAATTGTTGCATATCGGTATGGAGATCGTGCAGCTGGAACTTGCAGCGCTTTCTGTGATGTTCCCAACCTTCAAGGTGCAAGTACAGTTGGCTATGGGTCAAAATTTGACCACCAGGGGACCGGCAGACTTTGGTCCTTGGTTCTATTGCGCAGGGCAACCCATTTTGGGCCTTTTGGGTACCCATTGTTGAGCCACACCCATTTCTGACAGATGGTGACCCCCAAAAGGGGAACCCCTGGGTTTAAGTCTATTTGCAGGTAGTCAAAAGATAGAACCCTGAGTACATTTCTCTCACCATTTTAGTGGGGATTGGGATGTTCACTGGGGCCCATGGCCATTTCCAATTCTTTGCCCATGGCGAAGTGTCCGCGCAGGCCTCCGGCCACATTTGGTGGTTTCGGCTTCCTTTCGCCGCGAAGCCGTGCCGTGCGGCCAACGTGATCGCCCCACTGGGCTGTGCTTTCGCGCGCTCTTTCAGTCCGCTCAAGAAGACCTTGAGCGGGCCAAGCCAAGTGCTTCGCTGCAAAGCGGCAGATGAGCCACAATCAAAACCCGGGTAGATGAAGGTTAGTAAGTGACAATCCCAACCATAAATAGTTGCGGCCGCCTTCTTAATTCTGTACATGGTTCTGGGTCGACCATTTTAGTACCGGGTTTTGATTATGACTCAGATGTCCAGCATGTTATTCTTTGTGCAGCTGGCGAATTGTTCATACATGTATGCTTATTTCATTTGAGCGTGTCTTCACGGTGCAAAATGCACAAGAAGAAACGAGGACGAATGCTCTGGAGTCAACGTGCATGGTCAAGATTGGTTTGCGAACAACTTTGTATTCTCCGCTGTTCCCATTTCTTCCCTGACTTGTGCCCGTCCTGACCACCGCGCACTGTGGCATGAGAAGCACTTCTGATGCATTCAAGCATAACATGCTTGTGCAAGTCGGATTCTGTGGACCCAGAACAGTTTTGCCGCTCCACTTGGAAGTAGTTGCTTAGGCGTCTCTCCGAGCAAGAGGCTTTGCCACTGCAATCCAAAGCTTGTGAAATCGCAGAGGCAGAGTATTGCAAAGGCGAGCAAAAAGGATCTTGGAATGAACCGTCTTGACAAATGATGGGAAGGGAATTTCCCATTGTTCCCATTTTGGGCACGTATTTTTGACCCACTGCCATTTGTTGGCAAGCCGAAGGTGCATTCGGTCACGCTGGAAGTGCCAAAGCTGGAGCCGTGCTGCTGGCAACTTCCAAAGCCGCAGATATCATCCCAGCCTACATTTTCCGCCGTGGCAGGAACTGCCTCTACGTTGCTTCCGCTGTAGCGCAGGGCACTCGGGTTGTGGGTGGAATGGGGACGGTTGTATTTTGAAGCCGAGGCCAGAGGCTGACTTCGCAGTGCTCCGTGTCCTGACATCTGCTTCGATGCGCTGCAGAGAGCTATCCGTACCCGAGTCCGCGTGCGAGACTGAGCAGCTGTCGAGGGGCTGTGGCTCAAAAACATGTACTAAAATGGCACCTTGGTAAATGGAAAAGACCAAAACCTGCGGTTTGCCCTGGCTCTTAAATTTGAGCCACAAGGGATGCAACGAGAATGCAAACGTTCGATCAGTGCCTTCTATTGCATTGTCAACAGCTGACCAGCGCTGCAAACACCGTTGAAGGCATGGGCCCAGTCAATTTGGCTGTGGTTGTCAAAAAAATCCCAAATGGGTTGCCCGATCGGTAAATGGGTTGCCAAAGACAACCTTCGGTCCCTTGGTGGCGAGAAATTTTGACCCACACTCATTTCTCGAAGGTACTTCTTGCAAGCCGAAGAGAATGCCACGCCGGCGCTTGATGCAGACAGCTTCTCCTCTCAGGCGCGGGCTTCTTGGCGCCACGTGCTCAAAACCGATTCGGGTAAGGTTGGGAAGGGATCCCAACCAGAAATCGCTGCGGATATCCGCCTTCTTAATTCCTTACATGGTTCTGGGTAGACCATTTTAGTACCGGGTTTTTGCTAAGATCGCCAGGGCTCGCTGGAGAACCAGGGGACCACACCGGCTGGGTCGGTGCCTGTCTCAGATGGTTTTGGTGCATGTTGCCAAGGGATGTTACGACTTTAACTTTTCGCCAACTACTGGGTTGTCCGAATTAAGCCACTAAAAGTTAGTCACTTTTCCCAGGGGAGCAGAAAGCAACCGAGATTGGGTGCGGCGGCGAAGATCCGTCCGAGGCCAATCCACTGAGAGCATCGGCGACCGAGTCGCGGGCCACCGACATGGGTCCCGGGCTCAGCTCCTCAGCTCCCGGCTCGGTGAGCCGAATGTCTGGTGTTCAGATCTGGCTGTGGTGGTCCCTGTTGGTTGGTAACCCAAAAATGGGTTGCCCGATCGGTAAACGGGTTGCCATGGACTAAAATTTGCGGTTTTTATATCCTGGTGGATTCATTTTGACCCATACCCATTTGATGCCATGGACCGCTTAGATTTTTCCCCACACACACATTTTGTGTCACATACAGAGACCGACCTTGGGAAGGTCTCAGCCAATCGCAGGCATATGTTCAGCTCTCCGCGCGCCAAGGATCTGCAGTTTCAGACAGTTGCCACGGATCCGCCGTTTCGGAGCATTGGCAAGGTGGCAGGGCCAGGGAATAAGGGGATGAGGGTCAAACCACTCCCCGCAGTGCGGCTTCCAGTCGTTGATTCCCCAACCATCGTTCTTTTCAAAAGCCGGATCCATTTCCTTTGGGTTTTTGATGGTTTCCTGAAAAGATTCGGATCCCTAGAAAGAATGGAAATGGAAGGTACCCCGAGAATCAGGTTCACTAGACGTCTCTACGCATGAGCCACGGTCAAAATTACTTGTTTCACTCCTGATGCTCAGAAATGAATCATACTACTGTGGATGGACAAATTCCTGCACCACCTAAAAAACCCAGGGGTGATGCTTCCCCTGTAAATACCAACAAACAATGGTGTCCCATGGTTTCCAAGCGGTGCGAAATGGATTTTGTCCACCAGTAGGTCCGCGGGTCTCCGACGCATCTGGTGGGACTGGCCAGGCGACTGCATGCCCGAAGAGTTCGGGGACTTCGGCTTCGGGTTCGATGGGCTTGACCTCGGCTTCGACTTCAAGCTCCCGCCCTTCCTCCAGGTGGATCGATCGGCCATATGGGTGTGGGTCGAAATTCAAGAGCTAGGGTTACGCAGGTTTTGGTCCATGTTTCCACTTGCCAGGGTTCCATTTTGGCACCGGTCTTTTGAGCCATACCCATATGGGTGTGGTTCAAAAATAGGGTTGCCCTGGTAAATTGAAACATGGACGATTTAACCTGCGGTCCATTTCCTGGTGGCTGAATTTTGAGCCACACCTATCTGCTTTGCAAAGTAACGTCAGCTGAATGTGAGATGTGGACGGACGAACGCCTAAGACACCATGGGAGACCATAGCGTTTGTTGATATTTAGAGGAATCAAATCAGAAACTAGGGTTTCTTTGGTGCAGGGTTTTTGTCCATCCACAGCATGAACCCACGACGCGGCTTCCTTTGTGGGCGTGAGATGCTTTGGATTCTTTCCAGGATGTGCTGAAGCATTGCTCGGCAATTGACTGCTGAGCATGAGATTGCTTGCCAACGAGGACTCGGAAGGAATCCATGTTGGTAAGTCCTTTACTTGCCGTTCACGGCTGCCAGCGCTGTATGCAAGGGACGTTTCATTCTTGTGATCCATTTGGTGTTTTCCTAGGTGCTTGCTCAGTTTCTCAAATCATCGACAATTCGTGCACCAATTTGCATGCTCTTGGCGATATCCATGCCAAGATGTAAACATGAGGTGGTGCACTGGGAAATTCGAGTCAGGTCAGACATTGATTCATGGTCATGCAGTGCGATGCTGAATTCCCAGTCACCAGCAGCCTCGATGTGAGGCTTGTAGAGTATCTTGACGCCGCCGCCACCAAGTGCGTGATGTCTTGCAAAGAGACTTTTACTTGCAGCACGCTCTTGAAGGGATGGTGACAGGTATGCAAGAAGAGCGCCAGTGCTTCAATGGCTTCTGTTTTGCAGCCATCGCTTCTCAAAAGCAAAGTAACTAAATGAATGGAAGTCACCTCGCAGTTTGAGCTACTGAGTCCTTAGTATCCAAGCAATTCTTTGACACTGCAGTGCGGGTCTGTAGCTGGAGTTTCAGTCCAAGATAGCTACAACAGGTATACCACATCCCCTCACGCAGAGAACAATGGCGTGTTCTCCACACCCAGATGGTTGCAACTCTGGCACTGACATAGCTTTTCCGCTCAGTGCTGCACCACTTCTCAGTGGCCTGACACTCAAGTGCGGTGTGATCCAGGTTGCTTTCTGTGCCACGATATTTGAGAGAAAGCAAAAGCAAGGGGCTACCAATCATGCATGAGATTGGGGGTAGTCACGAAGCCGGTTTAGTATTCCGAGTTACCAGGCCAGTGGCGTGAACTTCCTAGTGTGTGCGAGGAAAAGAGATGCAGAAGGGCCTGACTAGTGACCGCGAGTGCGCGTGTGCGCGTTTGCGCGCGTGTGCGCGTTTGCACGTGTACGCGCTTGCGCGTGTGCGTGTGTGCGTGTGTGCGTGTGTGCCTGTGTGCGTGTGTGCGTGTGTACGTGTGTGTGTGTGTGTGTGTGTGTGTGTGTGTGTGTGTGTGTGTGTGTGTGTGTGTGTGCGTGTGTGCGTGTGTGCGTGTGTGCGTGTGCGGGCGTGTGCGTGCGTGGGCGTGTGTGGGCGTGTGTGTCAGTGTGTGTGTGTATCTCTGTGTGTGTGTGTGTTGTTTGCGCATGTCTTAAAATAGCCGCCAAAGCCAACACAAAAACGCGGGGAGTACAATGAAAAGGTCATGCTGGCGTAGACGAGAACAATTGCAAAGACCATTGGAGCATGGATGCTAGCACGTGGGTGCACCACATGGCGCCAGACCACGACTTGAATACACCAGCCCCCAATGAATGAAGCAATGCAGCTGCTCCACAAAGACAGCGGGAAGACGGACATGCACGCGCACAATTGTGTAGATGGGCGCTTGTTGGCACTATCACAGCAACAACACACATTGCAGAATCAGACTAAACCAACAGAGTGAGCTTGCCTCCGAAGATAAAGCAAACATACCTTGTTGTGCCCACGAGGTTGCGCATGCGCTGGCAGCTTGGCCAGCATAGGCAAGTGGTGGAGAATAGTTTGCACTTCTGTCAATCGGCAGTGCTTTGCGCAGACGGAGCAGTGCGCTTGCCAATCAGAATCTAACAATTGCTGAGTCACTTGCGCCCCTCTCAATTCCTCACGAATTGCAACAGCCCATTTGCAAAGTTTTGATGACAACATGCAGCCCTGACTTCCAAGCTGTGAAGGAGGTTGATATGGGCACGAGTCTTGCGAGACTGGTCTTCCAGCCCCCTCCTTCTTCGCCAGAGTCTAAGATGCTTATTGGTGGGTAGCCATACACCTCTCTGAGATGTAATCGCTTTCCAGGTATGGCAAAGATCCAAATCTGTTCTGGCTAACAACATCAAGACAGGAGGCCCAGTCAGATGCAATGGAGCGTGCGCTTGTGACTGACAGTGGTTGGAGGTGATCCCAGCTTTCTACATTAGACGGCAGGATGCCTTGTTGGGACCCTGGTGTCAGAGCAAAGGTTCCCACGCAGACCATCCAATGCGAGCCACACGAATGGACAGAAGCCCATGAGCCAACAGAAACCGCCCCGGTGTGGCTTTCAGAGAATGCATGGTTCACATACCACACTTTCCACTTTTGGTTGGGTGTGTGTGTGTGTGTGTGTTTTGACGGACTTCACGCCTCGTGCACAGACTTGACATTGTCACATGTGCACAGCTTCTTGTCCTTGAGATGTGTCGGAAGCAGGCTTCTGAAAACCCTTCCCGAGCTGCGTTTTGGGAAGTGGACTGTCACAGCTGTCCCCGGCAACGTTGCGCCCAGTTTCACCTTGCTCTTCAGCCACGGCAACGCGGAAGATCTGGGACTCATCATACGGTCGCCCCATGTGATGCATTTGAGGTCTCCAGTGATGTCTTGAAACTATGGGCTAGGGGCAAGACGAGGCCCAGGCAACTGGATTTACTGGCCAACGATGGACCATGATTTACTGGCCAACGATGGAGCATGCAATTGTTTTCCGCTCGTGGGACAAGGACCTCTCGCAGAGGTACTTTCGCGAGCTGAGCCACATTCTACATGTCAATGTCTTCTCCTACGAGTGGCCCAGCAGCATTCTGCCGTTCAAATGTGCTCTGTTGTCCTGGGAACATAATTTTTGCAAAGCGCTTGTTCCATCAGCTCGGTCTCAGGTACACGGGATATGGAATGAGCACTGGACAGCCTCAGGCCTGCTTTTCAATTGCCACAGGATCAGGCTTGCACACTAATGGTTGCCCATCTTCAAGGATTTGTGCACCACCCACTTTGGCGAGTTTAGTTGGGATTGGTTGATGTTCACTGGTTTGTTTCGGTTTTCACCCATAGCCAAATTGCTGCAAGCTGCCTCCAGCCATGTAAAGCACTACGCAAAAACGAGGAAGCAGCGGTGTATGCGGACATCGAGGCCGCCTTCAAGTGTGCCGGCTGCAAAAAGCGGGTCTCGGAGTGCGTGACGACTGCTTCACTGCTTCAGCTTGCAGCCAAGGTACCTGCACGAAGAGCTTCGCGCATCTCTTAGTTCAGTTTTGTTCTCGTGAAAGTCTCTTCTTTGGTGCATTTTGCCAAGGGATGTTAGGACTTCAACTTTTTGCCAACTATTGGACGTTTTCCGAATTAAACCACTAAACAAGTGAGTCACTTCTTCTGCAGGGCTTCGCAGATTTCGCCACCGAGTCTCGGGTCAGTTTTCTGGCCGCTCCAGGCATCCCGTGGTCACAGATCGTGCCGTACGGCAGATCCATCGGCACCGCTCCGTCCATACACCTGGCGACGACCGCGCCAGTTCGGGGCGTGGCCTGGCCCTCAGAAAGGATTCAGCACCTTACGTCGGATTCCAGGGCTCATCCGTAGAATCAGAGACTTCTTCCTAAATCTTTAGCCGGACGTGCAGAGCCTCGCCTGGTACTGATCAGACCTCGTTTGTCGCTGGTGATACTTGTTTGGCTCGGAAGTAGGATGTAGGCATTGAGGCTGGCTGCAAGGTGCGCCCCCTCTCACCCGACATAAGTGCGCCCGGCATCCTGGCAACCCCAGACCCTAGGTCTCGTCATCACTCAGTCCGGACGAGCGACAAGCCCAAGACTTCAAACAGTGAGATCCCACCCCTGTGGCTCCGTTCTCCGTAGCTCCCTACGTTCTCCCCACAGCCTTGACTCAATGGACCACTACAAGCGCAACAACTCAGAAGCCCTACATTGCCTGACCCCCAAATGCCTAACCGCCTTCAAACTCAACACCCTTCACCCCTCAAGCCAGGCGTAAACCCAAGATCCCTGCACCTAACCATTCTTCTTCAGCTTGCGCAGCAGGGAGGCTCACCGTTCTACTGAACCGAGTGAACCTGCATGGGGCCCACTACGCGCTCATGCCTTGCTTGCTTTTTCTTTGGCCAGCCTTCCGCTGTCATTCTTCCATGAAGTGTACCACCCACCCACCCACCCACCCACCCACCCACCCGCCCGCCCACCCACCCACCCACACACACACACAACGTGGGATGACTTAGCATTTTGGAAACGCTGCATCAACTGGGAAGAGTGACGACGCAGCGGAACCAATTCCCAGTTCCAATGGACTGTGGCAAGGTCGTGTTGGGTCAAACCCCCCACGGGTGTAATGCCAGGCTGGAAGTCACAACCCTTCGACATTTCTGTTTTTATGTTTTGCCATGATTGGGATTCGGCCTCCCACTGCATGTTTGGACCTCAATTGTATTCTACGGGCATTTTGTGTTGTGGGCGGATAGTATGATATAATGGAAATGTGTTTCAATATATTTTCGAGATAATTCAGAAACAAATAGCATTAAATGTTTCTATAAAAGTATCTATTTGTCAGATTCAATCCGAATTACTTGTTCAAAATATATTAAAACTAAACCATTGTATTTTTCAGAGTCAATCTGAATAAAAATATATTATTTTCCAATTTATTTAAATGTATGTCCTTTTTATGTTCATTCTTTATACATTTTTTAATCATTATTTGCTTTAATTTTATTTTCTTCCTTTTTATCGTTTATTTTTGACGTAATTTTATCTTCATTTTCTCGTTTCTGCTAAACACATTAAAAAAGAAAACAGTTTCCCAAATTCCTATCAATTCATCTACATTGGCATATGCCGATGTTTACATCGTTTGCAGTGGGCAGAGTGATCGATCTTGAGAATTTCGTGCAGCTGGCCCAGATTCTGCAGAGCCCCATGGTATCTATCTATCGAATACCGCCTTGGCCTTATAGACCTCGCTACTGCGGCAACATTTGGCTGTGGGTCAAAACCAATGGTACCATTTTGGTTGGTAGGTGAATTCACCACCCATTTTAGTACCTATTTTAGTGGTTGGATTGGGATGTTCACTGGGGCTAACCGATTTGGATCTTGACCCATGGCCGTCTTGCAAATCTTGCAATACCTGAGCGAGACTGCTGGAGCGCTGGGACCTGAGGTTTAGACTGCGATTTACTCTTCCAGGTGATGTGTTTACGAACATCGACAAGATCGGCGGCTCGTCAATGAGTGCAACGCAAGTCTCTGTGCCCAGTAGACCAGTCAAGACACGCGCACGCTCATAAAGACACGCACAAGCGCAATTTTCCTGCGTGTGTAAGCTTGCTGTACGTGTTTGCCGCCAAGCTTGACACGCTCATTGTGCAGGTGGCGTTTGCTGCCCTGTGTATCTCGTCATGCAAAGGGGAGTTGCTTTTGCATGGCTCATTGTGCCTCTGGATCAAGGTTCATTATCCATGGCACCAGGGATGAAATTGTCCCTGTTTGGCATGGTCAGGCCCTGTCCTCGAGTCGCTTCTTGAACGCACATGTTGGACAGAAGCACTGCCTTCTGCAGGTCCTGCATCAGACATGTGTCAAGAAGGGTATTGCTTATGATGCCTACGTTGTCGAGGACCCCGCGCATCTTGCACCTGGTCGCATTCTATATGTCATCATAGTTCAATTGCATTTGCAGGGCGCAGACCACAACAATCTAGAGATGCAGGCTGTGAGCCCGCATCGGGTCTGCTACACACGGCTGTTGGTCAAAACCAATGGTATCCCATCTTGGGGTAGGTGAATTCACCACCCATTTTAGTACCTATTTTAGTGGGGATTGGGATATTCACTGGGGCTTCGATTTGGATTTTGACCCATGGCCACACCCCATCCGCCGAGAAGCCTTTCAGCGGCCAGGCAGGTGACGCGTTCTACGAGCGACTGGCGCCCTGCCGGCCTGTAAGAGCTGGCCAGAGCTACCGGGTGGACGAAATCCATTTCGCACCACTTGGAAACCATGGTTGAAGCCATTGCTGGTATTTACAAGGGAATCATCATGCCAGGGGTTCTTAGGTGGTGCAGGATTTGGTCCACCCACAGCTTTGGAATGCAAAGCTTTTCGCCCTGTTCTTGTTTCGAAAGTCAGCACACGCTTGCCAACAGCTGCTGTTGAACGAGCCATGACGAGCTGTTGACCTGCCCCTGTGCCGCCGACCCCCACTCTGATGCGTGTCCCCAAAGGCGCCCGAAGAGAATGCCAGAAGATGCGCGGTCTCCTCTGGCGCCTTCCACCCCCCTTGCAGCTGGCGGTGGATTCACCATCATGTGATGTTGTGGCCGTGACGGTGCCTTCCTTTGACCTCCTGCCTTCTTTTTATCTCCAAAGCTACTCTATTTCCTATCTTTGGCTGGCCTGGAGGAGATGGTGATGATGGAAGCGAGGGAAAGGACTGGCGCCACCAACCTTGCAAGGAATCCTGTCCTCACCATATGCTTAGCATGTGAGAGATGGGGAGGAATGGCATAGACAGAATTCCACGGTCCAGATCTCTCCAACTCACCCACAAGAAGTTGCAAGATGAGAAGTAAAACGTGTTGCTTGTCGCTAGAAGCGGGCCTGGTGTGCTGTGTTAGCTTTTGAGAGACGGATGTTCATTGTTCATTCGAGCAGGATGCGATTCTGTACCGTGTCGCTGAACGTGTTGCGCCCGCATGTAAATGCAGCGTAAACACCCCCCTTGTCGTGAAAGACCGAGCCAGAAGATGGTGGAAGCATGCGACTTGTGTGCCAGGCGCTACCTTGAGCACCTGCGGCGCACGCCGATCTCGGAGAAGCTGCAGCAACAGGTGCCTTGCGACGAGTGCCTTGCCTTTGGTGCATGTTGCCAAGGGATGTTAGGACTAACTTTTTGGCAACCAATGGGTTTTCCGAATCGAACTACTTAAAAGTTAACTTTTTGCAAACTTTTGGACGTTTTCTGTAAAATTCATTCACTTTTCGCAGGGGAGCAGAAAGCAACCGAGTTGCAGCCTTGCACTTCCTTCCTGAGCATGATTTTTTGCAGGCGGATCGTGCGGGTCTTATGGCCTGACTCCCTCGCTGTGCGTTTCATGGCGGGGGATCCCGAAATCTCCCTGCCGATTCAGCCAGAAAGTGCGCATGTACAGATGTAGGGACATGCACTTTCTCTGAACACTCCTGCATCAGCTAGCCCAACCGCTTCTCGCATGGGGACACGCAGTTCGTGACCAGATGAATGTCAGAAAAGGCGCTTGGGCAAGACTGTCACACCAAGTTTGGTCAACTCTTCGTGTCCACTACCACTACCAAATTCTTATAACAATAGCATATTGCCAGTTTTGGGAGGACATAGCCATCTGTCCAGATTGCTATCAACACTTTCCATGCCGCAACATACGAACTTGTTCGCATCTTAAGTGCATTGTGACGGCGCCAACTAGCTGAAGGCTTCAGGAAAACGATGCCACTGCAAGCATATGTGGATTGCTTGGATCGATCTTATTGCTGATTTGCACTTTCGTTGCGGAGCTTGTTGCAACAGAGGCTGAAGAACTCAAGCCACAAGGAAAGCTCTCAGGCAACCGTTAGGGGATGGATGCAAGCGCAGGGTGGAAGGCGTGGCAGGGCAAGGATGGCTAGATGGCTTCACCGTAGTTTGGTTAGTCGCATCGAAGGCGATCTGCATTCAACGCGAGTCTGTTTGGCTGTGGGTCAAAACGAATGGTATCCCATTTTGGGATAGATGCCACCCATTTTAGTCTACTTTAGTGGGGATTGGGATGTTCACTGCAAGCGCCATGCAGGCCTTGCCATGCTAGAATTTCATGCACTCAACAAGTTCATCGAGTCCTGGCCTCGGCAGTCATGAAGATGTGAGTCACAATCACGGTATAAAAATGATCTACCCAGAACCATGTAAAGAACCAAGAAGGCGGCCGCAACTATTTCTGGCTGGGACTGCCCCTTACTAACCTACCCGGTTTTTGATCGTGGCTCATGTGCAGTTGTCTGCTGCATCAAATGTGAGGTCGAGATGGACCAGAGCCCAGCATCCACGCCGAGGCCACGGTCAAGGCATCCATTTGTATTTGCTCCTGCAGCCCGGTCAGGGGAAAGAGAAGCAGGCAACGAGAAGAGGGGCAGTGGTTAAAGGCCGGTGCTTGCTTGGAATGTTGCAGTGTGGCCTTGAGCAACGGTGTCGACTGTCAGGTTGCAATGGGGAGGTGGACTCTGCGATGGCAGAAGCGATTGGTGAGGCTAGCCGAAGAGACCTGAACCTTGGGGGGTCAGCACTTGCCAGGTGCTAGCAGAGAGCTCTCCCTGGCTTCAAGATGGGAAACTGCCACGTGTTTGCAATTCGTCGTTCCGCACTCATGAGACTTTGGCAGCTGGCGCAGAAGCTCTTTCATCTCAGGCTTGAGCCGAAGGGGAAGTCGCATGGCCCCTGGGTTCTGTGCACACAGTGCCTGCTAGGGCAGTCCTGCTCACTGCTAGGTCTGCCTGGCGCCGCAGAGGTCAGACACCAAGAGCGAAAGGCATCGGCCCCAGGTGTCCTGGACATTTTGCGGTGACTTAGTCATTTACAGTGATGCAGAATGAACGGATGTGTCTTTGTCGTGAAGTCGGTCTTTGAGACAAACTCTTTGAGAGCCTTGAGAGCTGTTCTTCCGGTACTCACGAGGGATTGCTCTCAGGGAGTTGCGCTGTAGCTTGCCCTGCTGCAGGCAAGCCTTCTGTTCATCCTTGTGAGCGCATCATGCTGCGCGCCTGGCATGATTTCGCATTCTGCTGCGTTCTGGCCCCCCTCCCCCCCCCTCTCTCTCTTGTTCGTTATGAACACCTACGGTTAACAGCACAAGTCAACAAGGGTCTGGGTTGGGACGAGCTTGGGTTGGGGATTGGCAAGAATTGATTTGGGGAAAGGGGGGGGGGAAGACTGCTTTCTGGATATACAGGGCTGAGCCGAATCTTCGGCCGATTCCCGCAACGTGGAGTTAGTGCGAGTGAATGCACAAGTCAGCTCCGGTGGTTGCGTGTCAACTCGCTTGGCTCGCTGGCTCGCCAGCATTTATCGCAGGTTCCTTTTCGTGTTCCTTGTCCTCCTAGTGCTGTCTGCGTTCTTGCAGCTGCCAGAGCCTCAAGCGGCGATGAAGAAAGCAGCGAATGTGGCAGAGCAAGCCGTCCGACAGGCAGTTCCCTGGCCTCTACCAAGAGGCAAGAGCCTCAGTGAGGCACAGACCAAATCATCTCCGTGTGCTGATTTGGGGGGACCAAGAAATGGCCAGGTTGCCGAATGCTGGCAATGCCATCAAACGCCTGACCTTCGCAATGCGGACCCAAAATCAAACGACTGGTCATCCCGTTGTCAAGTTATGTCAAAGTGAGCCACAATCAAAACTCAAATAAATAAGGTTAGTAAGGGACACTCCAGCCAGAAACAGCTGCGGCCGCCTTTGTATTTCCTTACGTGGTTCTGGGTCAAGCATTTTAATACCGGGTTTTGAGCAAGTGCTCCAGTGTCGTTTATGCGGGCTAGCACTTTGCTCCAAGGCAGCCAGCTCAGATGAGGATTGCATGGACGACACCTGTGACGCTTGAGTCGGAATTGGGCAGTGAGCGCAGCCCGGTGCAAAGCCACCGAGAAAGGCCTGTGGGTCTGGCACCACCATTCGCGATGCGAGGGTCAAAAGGCACGGCCCGAGCAGTGCGATCGATCAGCACTTCCAACCTTACCCATCTAGGCCTATCATGATAGAAAAGTGTCTTCTCATCTTTGCCAGCAGGAGTTGTGGACGTGCCCAGCTGAATTCAGCCATTTTGGCCGGTCCCAAATCCCGAGTTCGACTGCCTGGCTTGACGATGCCCGTCTCAGAGGAGATGATGGAAAAGCTGGCGCAGAGGAGGCGGCAATTGGCGTTCGGTTCCCTGGAGGCTGACACCGTTCCGCCCGCAGTCGATCGAGCCGGAGCGAATCACACAGCTGTCGCCGAAGTCAGAGAAGTCACAGACGAGAAGGATCGAGATCTCGCAACTTTAGGGAAAGTCGCCGCTGAAGTCAGAGAAGTCACAGCTGTCGGGGTCGGGAAGGAGAGAGATCCCGGCGCTGAAGTTAGAGCAGATCTTGCAGCTCCAGAGGCGCAGCATCGATCTCCTCCAGATGGAGATCTGCCAACAGACCTTGCTGAAAGCGGCGTGGCGAGCGAGGAGCCGGCGCAACTCCAGGTTTCGAAGCCACAGGACGCCGGCATTTTTTGGGCTTGTGTATTTCACATATATATATATAGGTATACGTAGATGTGTGTATAAACATATACACGTATGTATATACATATACACGTATATGTATATATTATATATATATATATGTACACATTGGACGAACACAGGAATTTGGCAAGTTCACCAAGAGTCACTGCAAGCCGTTGCGATCCACGCAGGAAATTGCAATCCACACTCTGGGCATCGCTATTTTTACCCCTCGCAGCTTGGCCGATTTGGTGGGCCACTCCTGGGATTGAGGGCATGGAGCTCCACCTGTTGCCGTCGTCTAAATGGCAAGAAGGAGCAACTATCCATCGTTTTTTTGTTTTTGCCCCTCATTGTTTCATTTTTGTTGTTTCTTCTTCTTGTTTTCATTTTTATTATTATTATTATTATTATTATTATTACTATTATTATTTATTATTATTAAGTATTTAAGTAGCAGCACGGTTGTTTATGCCGCTTATGCCTTTGCTCCTCGCAGCTCCACAAGCTTTCTCAATTGAGGCGATCTTCGGGTGCCGGAGATGAAAAGCTGCTCGCGGCGGACGAGGCGTGGCACGTGGCCGTTGGAAGGCGTGGCACGCTGCGTGGGCCGAAAACGTTCGAAGCTGCAGGCGTGGCTTCAAGGTCCGGCTGCACATCTACGACGTGTCTCACGACCTGACCGTGCAGCGGCTCAACCGGATCCTGGCCAATCAGGAGGCGCCTCTGAAGCTAGGCCGGGTCGGATCCGTTGGATTTTTTTCACACATCTTCTGAGCCATCAGTCAGAGGACCACATGTGGGTCGGATCCTTGTCTTTCAATTCATATCTTCTGAGCCAAAAAAGCAGAGGACCACACCTGCGGATCTTTTTGACAGGTTATGGACAGACATCCTCGGACTGTGCAGGGAGGTAATCCCACCCTGGCAGCCACTTATGGGTGTGTTCTTAGGGACCGGGCCCACAAAATTGTGGTTCTACTTTTGGTTTCCCTTTGTCACCCCCCAAAAAGGTACTGTTACCATGTCCAAAAAAAAACCTGGCAGCCACTGGCAGGTGGCATCTTCCACGCCGGGATCGAAGTCAACAAGACGGAATGGGCCTTTGGATGCGAGAGCGTGAGCGAAGAGATCGAGACGGGCGTCAAGACGTGCCAGCCGAAGCAGAATCCTCAGCACCACTACCGCCAAACGGCACCGCCCTCAGTGCGAGAAAATTAGCAATGCACCTGGCAGTGCTCATTGACATGCTACACCCACTGCAACCTTGGAATCTGCATGAATTCATCCACTTCCCCTGATCCAACGCCTTGTCCAGCCAAAAAAGCCAGCCCTTCTACCTCTACCTTGGCCACTCCAAGATCTAAGATCTGGCACTTCCAGTGTTTGCAGTCTTTCAACATTTGACCGACCTGGCCCAGTAGGCCCAGTACGCAATTTGCGCCTGAGAAGTAGTACCGTTTTCAAAGCTCCATGGCACCATGGACCTCTTTTTAGCAGTCCTTGAGTTCCCCTTTTGCCAAATCCTTTTTCCAGCAGAGGGGCAGAGGATCCATCCTTTTGCCTACCAGGTTTGGACCCAGTTGTACTATGCCTGCAGGCAAAGGAGCACCCCTTGCAGCTGGATACCGCAAGAAAACAGGAAAAAATGCATCCAAAACAGCCAGGTGCAGAATGCAGCCAGCTGCCCACAAAGAGACAATACATTTTGCCCATTTGAAACATGGCTTCTTCCACCAAAATCAAGCGACACCACCATTTACAAGGCAATGTTCAGGTGTATAATGTAAGGATCCCTGTTTTGAGGGAACACGGGGGCACGAGAAAGAGAAGCCATGCGCACGAGAAGCCTTGAGGCATCTCTGGGCCGCACCATCCTCACCCGAGAAGAAGTTGCTGCAGTCTTGGCCAGCATGGCAGAGGAGACTGCGTGAGCTTGGCGTGCGCTGCCGGTCGAAGCGGCTGTGGCACCATTTTGGGGTAGGTGCACCACCCATTTTAGAACCTATTCTAGTGGGGATTGGGATGTTCAGGGTACGGGATTTTGACCCATGGCCATGGCCAAGCAGCAAACGCGTTTGCTCCTTTTTCGCATGTGATGGACTGCCTTCTTGCTTTTTCACTGCAGCCCAAGAGGAGTACTCAGCAGAGAGCTACGACTTGCTGCACCGAAACTGCTGCCACTTTGCAGATGAACTCTGCCTGCGACTAGGACTGTGCCCGTATGTGGTTTTGGGTCAAAATTCAGCCACCAGGATATGGACCGCAGGTTTTACTCTTTGGTTCCCTTTACTAGGGCAACCCATTTTGGGGTTACCAACTATTTTTGACAACAGCCATCAGACTGAGCTGTTGATCCATTTCAGGAGTCAAGCGGCCGCCCAGATGGCTGCTTCGCCTGGCCAAGCTGGGAGCCGCTGGCCAAAAGCAGATCCGCTTGCTTGCCGCTTTGGCGCTTTGGCGCTTCTGTTTCGTCCGGCGTTTGGTTGAGGCAGCCGTGGATCAGCTGCTGCCCGCGCCGATCCGTGACGTGATGCCTTGGCAAGAATGATGCTTATAGCAAGCAGTGGAGTTGTGCGTCCAGACGTCAACACGTGGCTTTAGCCGAATTCATTTTGAATGCAACTTTGCAATCTTAGCACGGGCGAAATCAATGAGAGGTGCATGGGTAGATTCACGTCTGAGAGTTTGTCAAGAACACCCCCGTCACTGGTCGAAGATTCTGCCCTTGATGCTATCTCAGAAGGTGCCGGGCCACTTGAAGAGTGGCTCAGCAACTTTACATCCGATCTCAGGGAAACTGCGAAATCGCCAAGCACCCATTGGCCGTCGTTCTTTTTGCAGATACTGTTTCATCACGAGTTGCATTGGCAGGCTTTGCTTGATACGAAGCAATGGAATGTATTTTGGTACAGAGTGCATGGTTTTTGATGAAGTCCATATCGCAGAGACGAGCTGCTACCGTCTTCTGCAATGGTCATGTGAATTGCTCCCTTAGAGCCATGCATATGAGTCAACGAATGTGATCTGACAGAGATTGAATCGCGGAGCCAGAAAGAATGTGCCTGGCGGGAAGACGTTTTAGTCATACTCGTGGTGGGTGGAGCTAGTAGGCATACTATTGCCTTTCTAGTCCACTTTGAGAAAACGGTCGCTCCGTCTTAGTCAAGCGACTTGCGTGAGACATGATTCCAGCTTGCATGACTGGCAGGCTCGAGCGCCCATTGGAAAATGCCGCCTGATGTCTATGATTCCACAGGAGGATTTATCGCCATTGCGACCGAGTTTTGGCTGCAGGCAAACGGATTTGTTCTTCCCCAGAATTAGCTCCCCTTTTGTTTTTTTGCTTTTTTGGGGTCCCTTTGTTTTCCACTAACCAGGCAAAAAATATGTTTTTTTGCTGGGGTCCTAATTCCAGCCTGCTATCACCAACTCCTCTTATGTATGCCTGTATGCCTTACCGCCTTTCCACCCTTCCATCGGAAGACCTCTGCTTTGCCAGAGTTTGGTCACTAGGCAAATCTGAGACGCAGTTTTCAATTGTTCACTTCGGAGATGGTCGGCCATTTGTGACCGGCTGCTCAGGAAGAGCATCCATCCAGCACTAGCGGCTGCTGCTGAAAGATCCACGGACTTAACCAGGCACCATAAGTAGCAAAATTATTCAGTCGACGTTGGAACTGCATGCTTTGTTTGAGGCCAAGCGTGCTTCATTGCGGAGAAGGATCATTGTATTGGCTCATTGATTGGCTCATTGTACCAGATATTCAAGCAAATGGGGGACCAGCAGGCCTAGGCGATCGCGCGAGGTACACTCTCGTTGGCGGCTGGTTTGTTTCAGCACTGACGCTGGCATCTTCTGGGGAAATTCACCTAAGCATGTGCCTCGGAGAAAGTCCAAGACCGGTTTCTGATTTGTGTCACTGCATGAGGGCTGTAATCCCACATTACCAGACATGCAGTACTTCTGTAGGAGCAAGTCGATTGGACATGATATCCCAGTCTGTGATGCAGCTGTGTGCAGGAGAAGCTTTGGTGCCACCTGCGGATGCTGCTTCGTCTCATGCTCAGTCTGCAGAATGACAAGTTCCACATGGGTATGGGTCAAAATTAAATTAGCAGGGGACCGCAGGTTAAATCGTCCATGCTTCCATTTACCAGGGCAACCCATTTGGGGTACCTATTTTGACAACCATAGCCACATATCGCCGTTGCTCACTTCATCAGTGCATCGTCGAACCTCTGGGCATTGTCTAGGAAGTCATGGGAGCCGGGAATCAAGCTTGCCCGATGCCGGGAATCGAGGAATCAGGCTCCACTAGCCTTGCAAAACGACGCTGTACCAGTATCTGAGGGTTTTTGTATTACACCCTGGGATTACACCCTTGGGAAATGACCCAGAATGGTTCAAAATAACACGGTTTTGTCCGGACATGTGCCAAAATGGGGTCAATACGCTTAGACAAAAACCATCGTAGTGAACGTTGAGATCCACCGTCCAACGTTTCGCACGCCCGAAAGAGGCGCCGACTGTAGCGCTGCGCCGAGGTCGTTGGGCCCTTTCGAGCTGCCGGAGAACGTGGCGCACCGACCTGGAGCGAAAGAGGTGTCAGGGAGTGTCTTGCTGACAGCGCTGTGTGGGTCTTTTTTTTTTTTTTCTTATCTTTTCTTTTTTTAAATAACAACATATTTTAGTATTTACGTTTTTGGTAGTAGTAAACCAAAAAGAAAGCAGATTGCTTTTTGGTGGGTTCCCCGAAAAGCAAGACCCATGTCCAGATGGACGATGAGATGTTTGGGCATGTTGGCAGGTTGCAAAGGGAGCTCCAGGGACGTCGTACGCAAGGCAACTGATATGGTATGGCTAGTTTCTAGCTCATTGGCTGTGGGTCAAAACCAATGGTACCATATTGGTTGGTAGGTGAATTCACCACCCATTTTAGAACGTATTTTTAGTGGGGATTGGGATGTTCACGGGATTTTGACCCATGGCCATGTGGCAGGGGTTCTAGACGCTGAGAGATGGGACACCGCGTTCTAAATCGTCAAGAGACATGCCCTTGCAGGAAGCGGCAGCGGGCGGGTCTCACTGGTGATGCAGAACGCCTGCCTGGGATTTGCTTGTGTGCAGCCTGTCATTAAGATCCCGCCGAGGCAAAAGGCAGCGCCCAGCCAAACGCTCGCGTCTCACCGGGCATTGATCTCAGAACATTGTTCCTTTCACGCTCCTTTTTCCCACGTGCGCTTTGCCATCAAGAAATCAAATGTGGGGTATAGCCTTGAGCTCTTGACTCACCCAAGGCCTGAACGGGCCGCGTTCAGACGACGCAGGCGGCTGACAAAGGCAACAGCGCAACCCTGTTGTCCGCTGCCAGGCAGCAGCTGGCCAAGCGGGCCGTTTGCAGGAGAGTTGGACTCTGGCGCTCAAGGACCCATACGTCCGAATTCAAATTTCACCTTGGCGTGCGTTTGGGCGTGTCTTTTTTTTTGGGGAAACCGGCTTGTAAAGGGAAACCAATTGGGAAATCACCATTTTGGGATCCCCCCCAAAAGAAGACACCCCCATTTGCCTTGGTCAAGTGGTTCATTTGCCGACAGCGCCATCCCTTGTGCAGTTCTTCGTCTTGAGTTCTTTTTGCACTCCTTCGGAGTCTCCCGGAGTCTTCCTGAGTTCTATAAGTGCCAGGACAGTGGATGGCGAGCAGCTCCGCCGGCCTGTGTTGCTCACCCGACGGCTGAGCTGCTGTGATTCTCTCGGGCCGGCCTTCCAAGGCAGGTGGTGTACATCACTCTCGGGGGCGAGGTCCTCAAGAAAGGCAGCAGGCCGGCGGACAGCCGATGCGCCACGTAGCTGAGCGAGCGACCGCACGCGTATGCCATGTATAAATTTTGCCTGGGTAGGGGTCAACGATAAACCACCAGGAAATGGACCGCATATTAAAGACGACCACGTTTCCAGTTACCAGGGGTTCCGTTTTGGGCACCTATTTTTGACCCACAGCCACCTGACCTTGTCAAGGGCCTTCAGAGCTGCCACTGCAGATCAGAGGTACTTGAAGGCCTAGGCAGCCACTGCCGGCAGTTTGCGGCATCGATGTCGGACTGCAGGCGTGCGGCATCGCAAGCTTTCGCCCCACGAGCTCTTCGATTGAGGTGCCCGAGGCAAGTGACAAACCCGATGCCTTCCTTTTGTTGCTTGTTGCATGCACATCTGCGCGCATTTGCGAGTGACAAGCTTGGCGCAGCTCTTTTTTGTGATGAGGGTGAGCGAATGTTGTGGCAGCCGTAATGTTGATTGGTTTGCGATTGTGTTGTTTGCGAAATATGGCTGTGGCTCAAGAAACCGGTACCACCCTGGTAAATGGAAACATGGACTAAAACCTGTGGTTTTTAGGTGGTTCAATTCTGACCCATACCCATTTGTTTGTGATTGTCTTGTTTGCGAAGTAACAAACACTTGCAGCAGCAGCAGCAAGAACTGCAAGCAGCCCTGGCACATGCAGGAGATCGAGCCCTATGCCTCGCGGCGCGGTGAGAGTCCCTTGGACAGACTCCGCGTGTTTGACATTCACCATGTGGATGTGGCTCAAAAACATGGAAACCAAAATCACACCAAAGGGCAAATGGAACCAACGACCAAATCCTGCGTTTCCC